CTTTATATTACGTCGTCACCTCGTGGTAGAGTCGCAATATAACCTAGGCTCATGGCTTTTTAAGGTTAGATTAGTAACCAAACCATTAACGTAACCTGAATGTTTAGTTTTCTAAAGAGGTGATAATTGTAAGTCATGGAGTCATGTCTGTTTAGAATTGATCAATAAAGTGTTGTTATCTGTGACAATGTCGCCGAGTTCAGCGCTCGGCGCGGGCGCAGGGGCGGCGGCAGCGCTGACGTAACGCGCATGATACCACACTTATCGTTCACATGCTTGGATTGTTTCTGTGAAAAGTCGGGCCGTTGTAGGTAATTATTATAAATAACAATTTAACGATTACACTCTTGACCTCTTTCGGTAACTTCAAAAACGAATGGCGGCCATTTTGTATTTAAATACGCGTTGCTAGGTAATTAGCTAATCCATTTCTGAATATGGTGATGAGGGTTAATTGGAGATATTTGCTAGTCTAGTAATTTAATTGTTTGAAACCAATTTTGTGCATTTGTCAGAAACCTGACGTTCAGGATTCCTCATCGAGAATCAAATTACTCTCCATGTTTCGCTAGCGGGCGTTTGATATGTGAGTCAAATTACTTTCATCGGTACACAACGGCCATCGGCACTGGCACGCCACTGCCGCACATAATAATGGCCGACGGAATTATTTATGGCGGAAGAGGCCTACGTCAGAGGAAGTGCTTCTTTTTAGCGCAGCGGCCACCGAGAGAGAAAGATAAAAAGAGAAGCGGAAATGCTCGTCCGTCTGTCAATGCGGCTACAATGTCGTGCTATTTGCGTTAACGAGCGATTTATTTCAGTCGGTCGCGGCGTGAACGGCCGCCGCGGAATTTTGGCCGCGAGGAATCTGATTCCGTTAGCTGCAGCGCGGTGGCTGCGGGAGCCGCAAGCACATATCGCGCCGTACTTGTTGCCGGGCGCCAACGTCGCCGTCATGCGCCATTGCCAAACCGCCACCACCACTGATTCGCAACCTGAAGACTGTCACCGCATGCTCTCTGCTGTCAGTGTCATTATTTGTGCAAAAGGAAAATTCGAGATGCCGCTGACTCATACCGTGCCGTTCATGCGCCCCGCTCTCGAATTAGCAACAATTACTTTTCATACACATTTAATTTTTCGGCTTCCTCTTCCTGCCTCCAGCAAATTTTTGCCAACCCACATATTGACCCTAACCCCTTTAACTTACCTTAGCGAGATTAATCATCCATAATCATATGCGTTCAGCAGATGCACATATACGTGAGGTTGACGGTGGTATCCACACACTTCTTTATGCACTGTAATATCCGATCATAAATCAATCACACTCAAATGGAGGCGGTGTGGCGGGAAGGAGTTCGCGAGTGCGTCGTGGCATCGCGTGTAGGTAAACGTCGAGTAGACAGGCGCGCGCTCACGGAACTGAGTGCGCCGGCGCTCCATTTGGGTCACTGTCATGTCGTGGTGGGGGGCGGACACACGTTCGCCACTGAAAAATTAGCGACTCGCGAACTCGCGAATATGTTCATCAGTGCGGGCGTTCACGCGACTTGCACCAATGCGCTCACACCATGCCACTGCTGCCGGCGTCGCCTGCCGCCACCGTTCACTGCTGCTGCCAATTTTTCGAAATTGAGAAACATCGTTCTCGGCTCTACCGCGGTGTCGCGCTCACTGCCCGCGACTGATGAATGTCTACGCTCTTCAAAAACGACATTATCATGGCACGCTGACTGCACTACCGCTCTCTTAAAAAAGGAATTTTATAATTTAAAAGAATTGCGCCTTCTGCTCGCATATTACTTGGCGAAGAATAGGAAATATACTTATTAATTTTTCTATGTACGACTTTCAATATTTATATCAACTCTACAATCTTCTATTCCTTGTTAGTATTTTTTGTGATTTATGTTCCATTTTATTTATTTATAGATATGATCCTAAATTGAGGCGATTTCAAAAACTTGCAATTTTCAACGAAAAAGACTTGGTTATCATTTTTCGAGATACCTATACAAATAAGAGCATTTTCTGTACATTTTAAAAAATCATGACAATTTCGAAATTATTTATTAACTGATTTTGTATTAAAAGGTAATCTACCATATTTATTGAATCTGTTAACTACGAAATGCTTAAAGCGGCCACGTAGTCGGGTTGGACTATCTTATTATTTTCGAACTGTAATTGTAAAATAAAAATGATGTATTTTTCACTTTTTACAAAAAAATCTAATATTGAACTTTTGAAATATGTATTACAAGTGAGGTTTCATTATAGTGAAAATAAAGTTTTCACGAGTAATTTTAACTTTTAAGAAAACCTTACATAGTTTGTCGTTACTTTTTTAAACGAGTTTTTTTGGCTGCAATGTTATTATTGCATAGTCACCACACATTTATGCAAAATCTCAGCTCAATCGCTTATTGCAGAATTGGGAAACATATTTCAAACAAGATTTCAATAATTATGATGGTTTTCACATTTCAATTTAAATATAGTTTTTTTTTATTTAAATTTCCTACCAGCATTGTACCAGTTCCATAGTTTACTAGTATCTAGTATATTGAAGTAAATATAATTTCTTTAAGTGCTGTATTTTACAACACTAATTGTCTTGGTATAAGTTGTATGGATAACAAAAATTTGAGCGTGAGCCGCTAGATTCCATGGAGAATAATTGCCTATTCCCATTCATAATGCCGGCGCCAACGCGTCTGGTTATTCCATGACCATGGGTGGCCCCATAGCTTAAAAAATAGAGCTAAGGTGCGTTTGTTGGAGAAAGCATTGACTTTATTTTTATATAATGTTTTATATTGGGTGACGTTATTTTTTTGTTGTTGTGTTACGTATATATAATACGTTCGCCTATTCGAGAAAGTTCTATTCTTGCTGTGAGTTTGAAGTAAGTACGGGTGGAACTTGAAAGCTCATAATAATATATTGACTAATATCGCTTTGTTGTGATTGAAATTTAAAGCTACTCTATCGAATTATGCATTTTTACAGTTTGTATTTCTAAGGATCGCTGATAACAAACCCTTCTGTTTAATTTATATAAATACAGCCGGATTATATGGATTGATAATACCATTCTGAAACAGTAGTTGAGACATAAATAAGTAATCACGAGTCCAGACAGTGAAAGTGATTTTAAATTTTTTTTTTATAAGAGCTTGAAGTTTGATACAGTTACAAGCAATGATTATTAACAAAATATTTATATTTATATTAACTTTATTAACAAAACAATTGGTTTAGGAATAAAATATTGTACATTATTTTCTTTCCTATGGTTTGAGATGGGTCCTGCGATCAGTATTTAATCTGTTAAGATCGCCCCTAATTATCTTTCGGTTTTAAGACCCACATAATAAAATATTTATAGGGTTTCTTAGCTTTCATTATTTTTGCTTCTTCAGTTTGTCGTATATCCGCCCAGGAGGGAATATTGTCTGATAATAATAGTATTGACGCAAACACTCATAGCCCCATACTACAGAAAGCCTGTATCGCGGGTACCATAAGTTTAGGTAGGTCTTGCGCTGACGCTTGCAATGGTAAGTGCATGGTTTAGTGGGCTCCATCGGGTATCAAGCACTCACAAACTTCCAAACTGAAGCAGAAATTCAACGCTGCCTCCAGGTCCTGCAAAAGGGAAATTGGCGCGGCAAAGTTTTGCGCACACTCGCAAAATTGATTACATCAACAACTCAAAAGCTAGTTGACCTTCCCTCAGGTAGCCTTCTGGTTCCTCACCAAGGCTGTTCAAGGAAACTTCTGTCGAGTCTCACAACAAGCATTATGCAAGCCTTATAGTTCACTGGCTCATTCCGCTAAAGAGAAAGCAGATCTCCTGTGCTCTCCTTTTGCATCGAACTCAACTACGACGAGGGTAACTCACCACCTACTATCTATATATTACGTACACAAAGCCCGAAATCCGCTTCCCGCAAAGTGCGGCACGGCGTGCTCTTTTTTTTCGACGTCAGGAAGTCCAGTGGGCCCGATGACGTATCCACTATTATGCTCAGGATGTGCGGTCCCGAGTTGGCTCCGGTCTTAACGCACCTCTTACAATACTAACACTTAGGTAAAGTCCAGTGGCAGTTAGCCTGCGTTCACCTTATACCCAAGAAGGGTGACAATACAGACCTGTCCAATTATCGGCTTATAGCAATAACTTCTTTGTACTCCAAGGTGATAGAGCGCGTGGTAAACACTCAGTTCCTAGATTACCTCGAGGATCGCCAGCTCATTAACGACCGCCAGTACGGCTTTCGCCGTGGTCATGGTGCTGGTGATCTTCTTGTGTATCTCACGCACCAACGGGCAGGTGTAATATAGAGCAAGGTGAAAGCAATGGCTGTGAGCTTAGACATCGGCTTTCTATCAAGGCTACCATCTTACGGGCTTCCAAAAATGTTATGCACTTAGCTCGCCAGCTTAATGTCTGAGCGGAGCATAAAGTAACTGTGGACGTATTATGCTCGGACACCATGCGCATCAACGTTTCGCAAGGATCTGTCATGATCACCAACCTATTCATTCTGCATATCAATGATATGTTATTAACTAGTAAAATTCATTGCTACGCGGATGATACTTAGGTGAAGCCAGCTATATAGGTCGCACTAATCAGCGAGTGGAACACTGCAACTTGTGTCCAAAATCGAGACTTTGGATCAGGTGTTTGAATAGTGCCGACAGAATCTTGTCCTATTTAACCTCGCAAAGACACAAGCATGCACGCGCAGGCTTTACAAATGTAATTGCGCCAACGTTCGAGCACTGCCCTTACCAACTCTAAGAGTATTGCGATACTTGAAGTTGACATCACTGACGAAGTCCAGTTCCAGAGTCATTTGGAGAGAAAAACCAAACTAGCCTCAAAAAGGTTCGGAGTGCTCAATAGACCGAAGCAGTATTTCTCACCTGGCCACCCGCTTCTGTTGTATAAAGCACAAATACGGCCCCATATAGAGTATGGCTCACATCTCTGGGCAGAAGCTCCCAAATACCAGCTCGATCCACTTGACTCCATCCAACTTAGGGTTGTTCGTATTGTCGATGAACATATTCTTGCGAAGATTCAGTACGGTTTTAAAAGACATAGATCTGCAGATAATGCTGTTCATGACTTTACAGTATTTTTGATTGCTGAACTTGACAAGGGAATAAAATGTATCTCTGTATTTATTGACCTCGCGAAAGCCTTCGATACAGTCCCCGTTTCAGCCCATAGAGAAGCTAAACAAAATTGACATTAGAGGAACCCATTGAGTTTACTTACAGATTACATTACAAATCCAACTAAGCGTTTCAGACTTAGGGACTACCTAAGCGAGGAAATCCCTATTAGGTACACATGGAATCCTTCAGGGTAGCATTGTCGGCCCAATCCTCTTTCTGTGCTATATTAATGAGCTTTGTCAACTCCAAATACCTGGTTGTAACACAACTCTTACTTTCAGCGGTGACTTGTGACAAGAGGTACTTATGTCTGCCCAAAAGGGTTTTAATAACGAAAATCATTGGCTAGCAGTAAATTCCTTAAAACTGAATGCTGGTAAAATAAAATATATAACATTCTCTATTCGTAACGCAGCCTTCTTTCTGGTTTACACGATGTTATATACAAATGCTCTTCACCCAAATGTACCTGTTGTTGCAAAACTATAGTAAAATCCAAAGCATTCGTTATTTGGAAATAATCATTATTGACAGTAACGTCTCCTTCTCTCCACATATACAAAATTTACCTAACAAAATTCGCTAACTTATTTATGTTTTTTAAACACCTAGGACATATCGGTGACAACTAAATATTGCGAAATGTATATAAATGTATATGTAGTATCTGGCGCTAACACAGTCTTTTCTTACCTATTGCATCACATCGTGGAGTGGAGCTGCTAAAACTAATCTCATCGATGTAGAACGAGCCCAAAGATATCTGTTAAAAGTCGCATTTTTCAAAACCCACTTTTATCCTATATGACAACTCTACTTCGAAGCGAACATACTATCAAGCAATGGCAAGAGACTGGTACCCGTACCTGAACTAAGCAGAAGCTTGTAATATAGGAAACCAGGGCCCTCACTTCGGGTGTCGATTCGTCAATAAAACATTGAAGAAGTTAATGACCAAAAATACAAATTAACTCATTTTAATTTATACATATGACAAAACTAAGATACTGAAAACAAAACAAATTAATTTTTAAATCCGGACAAATAGTTTCATTTCCTATGTAACAATCGCGAAAACCTAAGAACTCGATAAAACAAATTAATTAAAAATAAAAACCGTATAGTGTTGTATGTGGTGCGTGCGTGGGTGCGTGCGTGCGTGCGTGCGTGCGTGCGGGCGGGCTTCTTGGGCTGGCGGCCGGTTGTGCGTGCGTGCGTGCGTGCGTGCGTGTGAGCTCGCTCGCATATTACAAGTTACACTTTTATTACCAGGAGTTCTTCAATTTCGTAGTACCTAACAAAGTTTTAATAAATATTTTGTTATTACATTTAGCAAATTATTAAAGACACTGTAAAGACAAACTCTGAAGTGGAATAATTTTTGTGCGAACGATAATTTAGAGCTGTTATGATCAGAACCAGAAAACATTCTTCGGTAGCTATAGACAAAAGAGATTCGGGAAGAGGGAATAATTGAGTGTTGCCTCATTAAAGTTAGAAAGCGAGCACAACTGTCGCACCGATAGTATGTTCGCTTCGAAGTAGAATTGTCATATAGGATAAAAGTGGGTTTTGAAAAATGCGACTTTTAACAGATATCTTTGGGCTCGTTCTACATCGATGAGATTAGTTTTAGCAGCTCCACTCCACGATGTGATGCAATAGGTAAGAAAAGACTGTGTTAGCGCCAGATACTACATATACATTTATATACATTTCGCAATATTTAGTTGTCACCGATATGTCCTAGGTGTTTAAAAAACATAAATAAGTTAGCGAATTTTGTTAGGTAAATTTTGTATATGTGGAGAGAAGGAGACGTGACTGTGGTGAATGTGCACCGACACCACGGCGCCGACTCAACCGGCGGGAGGTAAACCCGGTGAGGTTTTAGTGGGGTAGGCCCTCCAGTCTGGAGGGAGAGTCCCCACATAACCCCTGAGTCTCCCTGGGCTCAGGGGTATCTATAAAGATTTGCCCCGTAAAAAAAAAGGTACCTGTCTCTTGCAAACATAATGTAATATCTCTGACTATGTAAGTTATATTGTGTAACTTACATAGTCAGAGATATTATAATTACGTTTGTGGGGAAATAAATTATTATTATTATTATTATTATTATTGATGATCCCAAACTCACAAACGGTATAGCGCCCCTTAATCTACGGAGAGACGTAATGGGGAGTGTTCAGAGGAACTTTCCAAACTAGTGCCACCGTCTCGTTTCCACAATCGCACTTCCCGCCAAAGGAGTAGCGCCTATCCCCACATCTTAAATGCCTGGCATTGTAAGATCACGCGGGCATCACGTTCGTTCCTTTCTCGATTCTGCAAGATGTGTAATGATCTTCCTCCTGAAGTATTTCCTTTGCGCTATGACATGGGGTTCTGCAAAATGTCTACTGGGCCCTCAAAGGCTGGTAACGCTTAGGCAGCTCTGACCACCACAGCTGATGAGCAAAATTTTACTAAAAAAAAGAATTAATTATCATGGTAGTAAAACATCGTGACATTCAATCAACATGAAAATTACAATTATGTCAACATCTTCTTGACAGCGATGGTAGCTCTGTAAAGTATAGGTAAAGGTACCTCTCTGAGTGAACACATAAATTTCTCACAAAATCCAACAACAAAGATCTGCAAGAAGTACAATTCGTAAGATCAGCTGGTTCGTGTCGTGGCTTAATTGGCAGAGCATCTGGACGGATTGCCCGAGGGTGCTAGTTCGAATCCAGCCGGATCGAATGAATTGTTCTAAGTGTTCGATCTTTATTATTAATAATTATAACACACTAGTGGAGTAATTTCAGAAAAAAGTAATTGAATATCTTCTTCTTCTTGAGGTGACATCTCCTACTGGAGGTCGGCGATCATGAGGGCTATCTGTATTTCAGACATAGTTGCACGGAACAAGGATCTTGTGCTCAGGTTGAACCTTGTCCGGATATTCTTAAGCCACGAAGTACGCCTCCTTCCAGGTGGTCGATTTACCTGTATCTTTCCTTGCATAATTGGTTGGAGTAGGTCGTATTTATCATTACGCATTATTGATCAAAGTACTGTAGTTCGGTTTTTTAAGACCTCTAATTTCTTATTCATCATCTACAATACTCTTTCATTGGGCACTCTATCCGTCCACGATATTACGTGCTTGTTCTATCCGACATTTGATCTCCACGCTATGACCACATTGGTCGTTTACGATGTAGCCAAGGTATTTGTATGAATGGACTTTTTAAGTTTATGCTGAGACCATAACTTGCATCAATGCTATCAACACGCCAAAGCAGATTCTGCAAATCATTAAAATTTGACGCCAGAAATATTGTATCGTCAGCATATCGTAATTTGGGGAATTTATCGCTCCCCTAAAGAACAATAAAATGGCCTCTAGAACTTCGTGAATGGCTATATAATTATAATGTTTTGTGGTTTTTACAAATAGCTTTTTATCAAACAGGGCAAACAATTTGCAATCACTGACATGACGATTTACGCAACTAAAAACTGTCAAACATTTTCGGTAAGTGTGACACTCTCCTTGGCGACACTCGTCCAAAGAGATTACCACAGCCAGTCGGTGATAATAGGTGGCATCTAAAGCCGCCACACCGCCCCCCACGGAGTGAAGAAACTAAACTTGAAAACAAAAATTAGCCTATTGAACAAAATCACTAAAATCTTTAAAACGCACATGCCTTCCTGACCGGGTCGTGTACGGAGTGCCGGGCGAGGAGGTGGTTGGTTTGTCTGAAGGAACTGAAGACGGCAACTGCGGCGGGACTGTAGCCAGGGGATGTCTAGTCGGTGGCACTGCAGGTGGGGGTCGGAAGGCATCGGTGACATCAGCATCGATGTGCGCAGGTTTCACACGATCGATGCAGACGGTGACTGTTCTTCCGCCGACGTCAAGCGAAATTATCTTGTCCCTTCTATCGAGGACGCGGTTAGGTCCGGAGTACGGCGGTTGCATCGATCTTCGAGACTTGTCGTCCCGAAGAAATACGTAAGTGGCCGTCGCCAAATCCTTAAATATAAAAGACGAAGGCCTGTCGTGGTGAGATGCAGAAGCCAGCCGAATCGACACCATCGCACGTCTCAGTTGCGTTATTAAATCAGATGTCTCTGCGGGGCTGATTAGTTTAGGAGAAGCAACAATGAACTCGCCAGGAAGGCGGAGGGTCTCGCCGAAAACGAGTTCCGCTGATGAAGCATTGATGTCCTCCTTAAAAGCTGTCCGCATGCCGAGAAGCACCAGAGGCAACGCTCTCGTCCACGTAACAGCGTGGCACATGAGAGCTGCCTTGAGCTGATGATGGAGGCGTTCCACCATGCCATTGGCGCAAGGATGGTAACTGGTGGTGCGGATTCTTTTCGCTCCGCAGAAATCCATGAGTCGCCGAAATAGCGCCGACTCAAATTGACGCCCCTGATCGGTGGTGACGATGCTAGGAACACCGAAACGGGCAATCCATCCTGACACTAATTTGTCGGAAACTTCTTCTGCAGTTATCGTCACCATCGGCCAAGCCTCCGGCCACCGTGTGTAACGGTCTATGGCGGTCAAACAATAACTGAAACCATTAGAACATGGAAGTGGGCCGATGATGTCGATGTGCAGATGACGGAATCGACTGGTAGGTTGATCAAATCGACCAACAGGTGATTTAACATGCCGCTATACCTTGCTTCTCTGGCACTGAACGCAACAACGTTCGCGACAATCTTTGTTGATGCTAGGCCATACGTAGCGACTTGCTACCAAGCGTAAAGATACCCGTGCACCAGAGTGGCTGAGGTTATGGCAACGGTTGAAAGCAGCTCGACGGAACGGCGAAGTGAGATAAGACCGAGGGCGACCGGTTGAGGTATCACATATTAGAGTGATGTTGGTGCCCGGGATCACAACCTGTTCCAATTTCACGGCCGATCCTTCTTGCATTTTCGCCAAATCTATGTCAGACATTTGAGACTGATTTGGCTAATAAAAGATAGCTGGTTCAGTTGCGGTGGAGGTAGTTTTTCACGACGTTGTACGAAGGCGTACAGCAGTGGCTTATGGTCAGTATATATAGTTCGAGAATGTGGCGAAAATGTTGTACGCTTTCGTACACCGCCAGCAATTCCCGATACTAAGCAGGCCACTGAGCTTGCCGAGGAGTCAATTTCCTCTGAAGAAAGCGAGGGCATTCCAGGCACCGTCCACCTGTTGCTGAAGGCAAGCGCCAACATGGATACTTGATGCATCGGTAAATAATTCAAGGGGTGCATCCATGATCGGGTGTTGCAATAACGTGGCACTAGATAGGCTGGCTTTACAGGCTTCGAAATGCTCCAGAAGCTCTGGCGTCCATGATAATGGTTTAGCGTCTTTGCCATTGGTAGAGATGACAGCGTCAATTAAGGCAGCCTGAAATTTAGCTGCCTGAGGAATAAAACGTCTATAAAAATTTAACATGGCCAGAAAACTGCGCATACGTACTGTACGGTTTTGGGAGGAGGAAAATCCAGTAGGGTTTGGATTCGTTCTTGCGGAAGGCGAGTGCCATCGGGAGTTACAACGTAACCCAAAAATCGGGCGTCTCTTACTCCGAAATTGCTCTTGGAAGGATTCAAAACAACACCATAATTATGAAGGCGCTTGAAAAGAATCCGCAAATGGTCCTTGTGCAGAGCCTCGTCCTTAGAGAAGATGTGGATATCGTCCACATAAGGAAAACAGAAATCCAAACCCCGTGTGACCTCATCGATGAACCTTTGAAAGGTTTGACCCGCATTCCTCGTGGTTGAGGTGGAGTTGACAGAAGTTTCCGAGGGAAACAGGAAAGATCGGAACCGGTGTCAAGCAAGAATTTAAATTTGGTTACCTTGTCAGTGACAAACAGGCGGCGACCAGTGAATTGGCTGCAGTCCGCTGTCGCCACTACCGCTGACTGCTTTCTTGGTTTTCCGGAATCGGATCTGACCAGGAGCACGGCCGGACACATTTGACAGCTTTGCCCTGGTACCGACGGTGGTACCAGCACAAGCCGTGAGGCATTGCGGACCTTGGTCTAGGGCAAGATCGGCGAGAACTGGATCTTGATCGCAAATGGCGTGTAGACAAAGCCGCTACCTGCTTACTGAGTTCCTGTAATTGAGCAATGATGGGGACCAACTCATTGTTAGAAGGCGCGGGTGGCGCAGTGGCGCACACAATCCCTGTAGATGAGGGAGTCACTTCTAAAATTTTGTCCAGCTCAGCAATTTTTTCTAGGCTCAACTCAGCCTGGGCTGTCAAAATTGCCTGGACCGTCCTAGGAAGTCTCTGGAGAAATAGTTCTCTTAAAATGGTTTCGTCAGTTAAGTTGCCAGACAGGGAGCGCAAGTGTCTAAGAAACATGCTTGGTTTCCTATCACCGAGCTCTTCCTCAGAAATAAGCTGCCTGATTCGTTGAGCGTCACTGGCCGAAAACCGCTTAATCATTTCAGCCTTAATCCAATTATACCGCTGGCCGAGAGGGGCTGGATCAGTAATTAAATCCTCCACATCTCTTGATAACCTAGAATCTATCTGTGATACTACGTAGTTGTACTTCGTTTCGTCCTGAGTAATCGCTGATAAAGCGAACTGAGCTTCTATGTGAGCAAACCATCCGGCTGGGGGGTCAAACCAAAATGGGGGTAATTTGGGGCGAACACCATATTCCGCTGGAATGGGTGATGGTTGTTGAGCCTCTGAGGAGGAGGAGGAGGAGTCTGTCGAAATAGTAACTCATTTTGAGCCGCGAGCATCTCAAGTTGTGCCTTCAATTCATCCATGACAACCACACCTCAGTTCGGGTAATAGGGTTAGTGATAAAATATTAAAGAAAAACACTTACCGGCAGGAAGTCAAGTAGTAAAAAAGAAGGTTTTATAATACAATAAATACAAAATCCAAACGGTCGACGGGCGTGTGACTCGTCGCGACAACTGATAGATGACGTAGAACGCACGTTCGCACGTAACTGCTCACAAGTCGCAGTCACCCAAATGTCGGAGCCGATCCTCCATAGAAGCTCCAGCGAGCGTTAGAAAGGAGTATGGGGCCTTCAATTTGTATTACTGCATTTTCTTAATTGTATGTTGAAATTTATGTGAACTTTTATTTCTTGAGAAACGTAAAATCAAATAGCTTTTTATCAAACCGGGCATTAACTTACAAATAAATGGACGACGAGTCTAATACAAAAACCACGAAAAAAATGTCTCAAGTCAACCTATTTAAACGTAGTGACATGTAAAGGAATATGAAAAAGTTAAATCGTTGAATTTAAATTGTAATGTCATCGCAGTACTGTCTAATTTTGCTTCCTTCGCTGTCAGTCGAACAAACGAAGACTAAAGCGTGAATGACGCTCTCTATACGATTTTAACGCCCTATAAGTTCGGACACTTTTTAGCGCGGACCCGACGTCCATATAATTGTACGTCAATGAAACCGGCCAAACAATTTGCAATCACTGACATGACGATTTACGTAACTAAAAACTGTCAAACATTTTCGGCAAGTGTGACACTTTCCTTGGCGTGACTATTTACTATGATGCCTTCCTCAGCATTTTCTAAGGCTTCTGCAAATTGAATATCAATAAACTTAACAATTATAATTTATAATTTTAAAACATCAAATAACTTTTAGAAAAAAATAAATAAAAACCAAGTACGTGGTTCGTTCCGTGGCTTAGTTGGTATAGCGTCTGACACGGTATGCTAGAAGACATCGGTTACGAATACGGCCGGATCGAAAGAACTTTTTGAAAGAACTTTTGAAACGAAGCTCTACGTGATGTTGTGTCTATTATTAAAGCAAACCCTAATCTGAACTACAGCTACAATAATTATTAATTTAACTATACTAAGTATCAATTAACAGGTCAATGGCGATCATCCACTCTTTCCTACACTGTACACGTTATCTGAGAAAACGATACTCTTCTACGTTTGCCGTTACCTTTGAAAGAACTATCGTGGTAGAAGTCACCTTGACATGCACATGACCTCAGCAGTTGCAAACTTTGAAATAATTTGATAATTATGAAAAATATTAATTAAATATTTTGCTTTTCTATAAAAAATATATATAATAAAATGTAAATAATAAGCAAAACCGTCCATTCAAAATCCAATCCTTGTCGTTAATCCTAAAAGTGATATTATTTCTACCTAAATATAAAGTAAATTTATAAAACAAAAAAGTAGATAAAAAGAAATGGGGATAACTTGAAATTTGTCTTTTTTTAAGGGACCGTAGTTTTGGTTATGGATTTTACATGGAATTTGATATATTTTGTATTTTTTAATTATGAAGTCAAAGATTTTGAAATATTAGTTTTAGAGTGAAGAGGTGTATTATTGTAATGTAATTGAGAATGATTATTTTGTCATTTATTGTCTATACAGATACTGTCGTCATTTGTGTCCAAACTATACCTTACTTGACTACCCTATTTTTGTTGGCTTACATTTGAAATAAGAACACATTGATTACCGGACTCATAGTTGTCGATTTCTATATTCTATGTATATTTTATTAAATTTTATTTTTTTAATTGTCCATGTTTTACATTTGTCGGACTGCGAGTTGAACGTGTTTTTCTTTCTTGATACAGAAGGATTTGGGATGAGCCTGCGTTGATGTCTTTTCTATTTGTAAAATCTATATCGTTATTTCCGCTTGGGAATTATTATTGTAAAGTACTAGAGTAATAATAGAAAGTAATAGTTCATAAGTCAACTTTGGCAAACTTTGCCATAACGAAATCTAGTTAATTTTCATTCAATGATAATTAAAATACCTTGTTAAATTGATAAATATATCGCATACTCATAACAAATTTTATAAAATTTATTTGGGAAACTGACAAAACAGATGTAAAGTAAGGTTTAGTACGTTGCACCAGCTTTCAAGTATAATTTTATTTTATTTGAAAAACTATTTTCTTATTATTTTCAAACATTTTTTTATTTATTTTGTTACCTTCTCAACAATTTTACTTTTCGAATATCAACACTTTATTATGGAGGGTAAGACTGTGGTTTATCACTAACTAAACTTCAAATTTCTTTGTGCGAAATTTTTAGCAGCAGTAGAGCTCCTTGTGAAAGAGTTCACCAGAGATGTACCTTACCTATTTCTGCCGCCAAGCAGTAATGTTAACAATACTGCGTTCCGGTTTTGAAGAGTAAGGGTGCTGGTGAAATTACAGGCATTGTCAATTGATGTCTCAGGGTGACGGGCGCATTGGCAGTGCCACTCAGATCTTTGTGATTTAAAGCTCTGAGTGTCACTGCAACTGTTATGGACAAGTGTGTAGCTTACCATCAGGCGCACGACTTGTTCGTCCCGTCACTTGATTTAATAAAAAAAATGGTTACGCTTTAGGTCTGTGTGCAGAGGGCAGGGAGAGACAGTAGCAGTATATGTTTCTAAAAAGTACCTACTAAAGACAAAGTACAGGAGATGTAATATGCGTCCATCAAAAATATCGGTATATTACA